ATAATAATAATTTTCCCTTGGCACTTGTCCTGACCCAATTAAGTGAAGAGTACCACTCTGGTCTGTGTTGAGTCTGTTGGGAAAGGAAAGACTGAAAATGTATGTTTGATCTGTTTATTTCAGTGGGATCTAGGTTTAACTGATAGAGGACATAATCCTGTCTGCCCAAAGACAAGCTGAATTTGCACTAGAATACAGTGGTCCCTCGCTAGACAGTTCCCCCGCATGACAGTTTTTTCGCTAGACATTGAGTTTTTGCAATCGCTATAGTGATTCGCAAAACAGTGATTCCTATGGGGGAAATTTCGCTGGACAATGTTTGGTCCCTGCTTCGCAAACCGATTTTCGCTAGACAACGATTTTGACAGCTTCCTCCGCGCTCGCAAAACAGGTGTTCTCGGGACCTAAGCTTCTCAAGACAGCGATTTAAACAGCTGATCGGCGGTTCGGAAAGCGTCTTTCCTATGGCTGATCTTCACTAGACAACGACGATTCTTCCCCATTGGAACGCATTAAACAGGTTTCAATGCATTCCAATGGGGAACAGCTATTTCAGTGGAACGGATTATCATCGTCTAGCGAGGCACCACTGTACCTGGATCCAAATCTCTCCTATCCAAAAGAAATTACAAGGGCCACTCTCACATTGACCTACATTAACTTTGTACCAGCTGTGTTGCTGGGTTTCTAGGGTTGAATGCATTCTGGATGAGGTGTGTCTCACCTCCTCCCTTATCCTGCCCTCTTCTCTACATCTCCTCCTTTTTTTCTCTTTTTTTCTTTTGTTTGTTTGTTTCATGTTGACAGAAATTCTCTTTTTTTCTTTTTTCTTTTTTTTGTTTGTTTGTTTCATGTTGACAGAAGAGGGTTCCACTGCCATAAAGGCAAGCTTTACCAACTGAAGGAGTTTTCTGCCGGCAGGGAAGGCTGATCCCTGAACCCCACCCCGTTGACATTCCTTTGAGTATGTTGTACACCTGGAAGCAGCTCTATGAATTTTTCATGTCCTATGTGATGAGTCAGTCACATTAGGCTGGCAGGATGCTACCCCCCAAAAAAAAGAAAGATAAAAAGAAATTCTGGCCATGTTGGGCTGATGATGATCTTCAGTAGTAATTAGTAATTTCTAAAAGAACTACTCAAATTCAAAATTAATTGGTTCAGCTCAGCATAAACATATTTAATGAGGAGAGCTGATATCAGGCCCACTGATCTAATCAGCAGGTAGGAAAAAATGCAGATATTTAATTAGATTTAATGAAAAATTGTGTTTAATTTCAAGTATAATCAATTATTAATTAATGTAATGAGTGACTCTGACTGGGCTTTCTAATTAACTCATTTAAAAATTATGAATAACCTTTTCATTTGTAATTATTTTCTATGTCCTGTCAAGCTGAAGATAAAAATTGTATCCCATTAAAAGAATACACCTACCACCCTTGTTTTGCTCCAAATTTCATTGGAAGTTCTTATTTTGATATCTGATTCATTGTGTGTGGCTTTTTTTTAATCTTAATTTATGAACCATGAAATGCATTTGTTCACTTTTAAAAATACACGTACAGGATATTTTATTCATTACTTTATGCTGCTAATTTGTGGGAGGTGCAGGATGTAATTTGAAATAAAATTAACAAACTGTATTTCATGATGGTTTCCATTACTTTTAAGAGAACAGTCAGCTTTGCTTTGTTCCCTTGAGGCTTCCAAACAATATTAGACAGTTTTCCAGACTTGGCTCATTGATCCCAATGTAAAAAGTCCACCAGCTGCAATTGTAAAACCATCACTCTCGTCTGTGGTTTGTTTGTGGCGACATTCAAACCAAGCAAGGAGCCAATTCTCCAGCTTGTTTTGCTCTTGATAAGCCAGAGAATTAACCCTCAAATATTCCCAAATTTATTTTATTGACTTCTGAGGACAGAGACAGACTAAAACTGACTCTTCCCATGTTCACAAATTGCAGTAAACAAGCCATAGACTCTGACTTGTTTAGTTCAGGGGTAGACAACGTACCAGGGTCTAACAATCACACAAGGGGAGCGCACTCTGCCATTTTTCATATAAATGCTGCAAAAATAAGCAATTCTGTTTTTCCCTTAACAAGCCAGAATTTTCACTTACCATGATGCTGGTATATTGCCCCATGACAGAAAATTGTGGTTCCCTCCCCCCAGTGCTTTTACCAGTATATCATCAAACCGGTCAAGAGACCCAGTAACCTCAAATACC